ACGAGTCGATTATACGAGAACAAAAATCGAGACTGAACAAAGTACTAACAAAAAACGATAAATTCTATCATCAGATCAATTTAATAAAACAGTAACGCGTTGCAGTAAGAAAAATTTACAGAACTTTTTATACTTTGTGTACGTGTGCTAAAGAGTCGAAGAATTGAAACTTCCAATTCCACGAGATTCGAAATTACTCTGTTCTTTCGAATAAAAACCGCAATTGGTGCGGCCGCGAGCGTGACTCGATATCGCGAGACAACAAGGGAGAGTGGGAGGAGGAGGGGGATGGGAGGTTAATCGATTTGGATGCGCGCGAATTTTTCCAATCCTGCCGGGTGTTCTATTACGTTCTTCCCGGGGCCATGACCATCGGGATCGTCTCGAAATTTTCCCTCTCGGCCAGTCTCGGAGCTGCCAGTCACGTTCTCCCATCAAAATGTAGATGCGGCGGACGACTACCGGACCACAGCCACCGGCCAGATCCACCGCGGCCAGTGGGTATTATTTTTTCGCCCGATCCTAAGCGTTATTTATGCGCGCTGCTCTCTTCGACCGATTTTTAAATTCCCTCGGCCATGCGCTCCGCCGCTGGCCGCTCGTTATTATTTCCGTATCACGTCGGGAAGGGATTTTCACAGGGAGCCGGGATGTGATTCGCTCGCGAGGGGAAGAGAACGAGGTTTTAGAATCGGTTATCGAATCGGCTGAATTTCGTAATTTTCGTCAAAGAAATTTTTTTTTTTTTTTTTTTTAATTAGTCAATTTCTCTCTCTTTTTTTCTTTTTATTTTTTAAGTTTACAGATTCTTCGAGATTATTCGTTTGTCCAGTTGCTACCGTCTAGCTACCAATTGCGTTTGGCAGTGGCCATAAATTCTAAGCGAAATAAAATAAAATACAGCTCGAACGATCGTCCAGCAATTGATATTAATCGACAGTAATCTCTATTGATATTGTTGCTGATTCAATCCATCCCTGTGGATTAAAATGACAATATGTTGCAACGGCAAGGTCGCGAAATTTAAAAAAAAAAAAAAAGTTGCCTCGCGCGAATTTTGTGTATGATTTGTATCTGTTATTGGTAGTACGTGCTTCGTCAAACATCATGCGTTTCAAAAATGCTTCGTCGGTATACTGCGATTTATTCGAAACAATTGTCATTAAATTTCAAATTGGAATTCTTGCAAACCAACGAAATTCTGGTTACGGAGCGCTACGAGCTCCGCGACAGCAAAAAAAAAAAAAAAAAAAGAGTTGAAACAACACATGGAACGATATTTCAAAGAATTTACCTCGACCTCAGGATCGAACTGGTAACCCGAAGAATCGATGAAATCCTCCAACACATTCACCGGAATCCCCCGGCGTTCGATCTTATCGTCATCCACGATGTTGAAAGCCATTTTTCATCCCCCACGCGCCACTTCCCTGAAACATCAAACAAATATCTTACGTTAGATCTGGACGTCACTCCGGGAACGGCCGGATCAACCTGTTCAACCTGTTGCTGATTAATCTCGCCGTTGGCACCGGCAATAAGACTATTTATTTGATAATCGATGAGAACGATGAAACAAAGCCCGAGCGCTAAATTGATTCCTCCATTTACGCTGGGCGCTCTCGCGCCTCCCACCTCTTTCCAACTAGCTTCCCGCCGCCGCACAACGCGGTGCTTTATTTCTGCTCCATATCCCGGGAAATCCGTCGTCGCATTGTCGACTACCCGTGGAAACGAACGCAAACGGAGGATCGCTGTTGCCCTCGCCACGACGCGAGAATTTCCATACTCCGCGGTTTCTTCACCGCGAGTGCAAGAGGAGAATGAGCCAGAAAGAATGGGAAGAATGGATGAAGAAACGGCGCGAATTTTTCTGGAAAGTCGGTCGAGTTTTCATGGAAAACTCGGTAAACCGAGCGACGACGCCGTTTCCGGGCGTCCGTTTATCCTTTTTTGCGTGGAGCAAGGTTCTCCAAGGAGAACTTTGGCAAGAAGGTGGGCAATCGACGAACCGACGTGGAGACAATGGCGTTTCGTTCGTGAATTCTCGAGAAGTTTAACCCTTTGCACTCGACTAAATCTAGCCAACAGCTTCGGACTTTCTCTTTTTATAATTTGATCATTGTGACAAACATATACATTTGGTATTGTATGATGCGATGTACAATAGTATGATAGTATAATATAATAATATGTATAATAGTATAACCCTTTGCACTCGACTAAATCTAGCCAACAGCTACGGACTTTCCCTTTTTATAATTTGCTGATTATTGTGACAAACATATACATTTGGTATTGTATGATGCCGTGTATGGTATAATATCTGAAACAGACTAGAGTGAAAGCAACAATGACGACGTAAGAAGAACGAAAGAATTTCAGAAAGGAGAAATTTCGTAAGTCGTAGTCCCTTAAGTCGCATAAACTAGACTTCTCATTGCTTCTTACGAAACTTCAAAAACTAGCGGAGGATATGATTTTTCCAGAGATTGAAACTACGTGTCACTCAACTCTTGTATGTTATACTTGTTTTAGCAAATTCGCAATGCACAGTTGATGATTGCTTCAAATTCAAATATCACACGTTGGAAAGATATAATCAACAAAATTTCGTGTTAAATACCACTGAAGTGTTGCTTCGTAATGATAATTATTTTTTATCAATATTACCAATATTTTCTCAATTTTAAGTATATTTAAGTATAAACGAATAACAAATTCGTTACTCCTCAATAATTTCTATCCAGTGATAACGTACCGACGAGTTCAAGAAGAAAGCGACGAATTATCGTATACGGTTTGGTCGCTCGTTATGGTCCGCAATCAGTCGCCAGCGAAATTCGTTGAAAGCCGATCGTATCGAACGACTTTGATTGTAAAGTTAAAAACTGATAAACCCTAATTTCAAGTCAAAAAAAAAAAAAAAAAAAAAAAGAAACGTGTTCCTTTCTCAGAGAAATTAACAATTCGAACGGCACAATGATTTCTAAATCACGATCAGTTGCAATTTCTATGACCACAAAGCGTCGCGAAAGCAACTGTTTCTGTAATTTTATCGGCGAGATATGAAGAAACACAGAACGGAATACAAACGGGAGATCGTTCTTCCCTGCCATGACTGACACCCGATACGAAATCGGAAGGGACCGCTTCCGGAGGACACCCGGGCACAAGCAATGGCGTTTAGCGTGGAGGTTTCTCGCGCGGCCGCGGTTCGTATTGTCGACGATGGTTGATGAAAGCGGCGACGATGAGAGAGGAATTGTTCGTCACGGTGTATGGAACGCGAGGAGGAAAGGGTGTAACGAAAGAGATGGTGAAGAGGAACATGAGACTCGTCGCGGTGTCACGGACGATTCTGCGAGGAGGGGTGAGGGCGATTTCTTCTCTATTGTCGGCCGTGAACACCGCTCATGGTCGCCGATATAATTGGCGCCCGCCCTGCCGGATAACTCGAACGATAACGAGGACAAAAGAAAACCGCGCCGGCGAAGGAAACAATGGACGAAAGATCCGCTGAAAGTGCCCGAAGAACGAGGAGAGAGACAGAGAGAGAGAGAGAGAGAGAGAGAGAGCGACGCTCTTCGCCAACCGGATGACACGACAGTCGACTGAATCTGACAGAATTCAAGCGACTTCGCCTCCGCGTCGAGTGCACCAAACCGAGCAGCAACCTTCCACGACCGAAATGCCAACGATTTCTAGGGCGTTAATTGCGCTCGTTAACGGGATCGAGCGAAATCTACCTCGAGAGAGAGAGAGAGAGAAATTTTTACTAGTTAATTTTTGCTAGTCTCTCTCTCACTTCGTGCTTTTTTTAAAAACTCAAGCGCTTGTGTACAGGGAGTACCAGAAAATAATTTCGTCCGACTTCTTTTCAGGAGATGTTTGTATAGGTTCGCTCGCTCTAACTCGAGATATTGCTTCCAAATTTCGTAAAGAGGGATAGATATCTCAAGGTGTGTACAATTTGTTATTCAGTTTTTATTCTATTCTATTAAGAGAGAAACTTTGTGGAAGAACATGTTAGATACCATGCGCTGTTTGAATTTCAATAGGAATAGCAATATCGCCGAGGCAACCAGTGTAATTTGCTGTCTATGTTCAAGTTGTTTGAACGTCCGCAAATGTTGCCAACGACGAGTTTTTATTGAATTGGATCATCGTCAAACTGCTCGGGATTTAAAGTAGAATTTCACAGATTTGGAGATTTTCTAAGTTCACACATTAAAAAAGGAAAGTGCCACGTGACTTGCGTGACAATCACTGTGTAAGTTTTTTTAGTTCATCGCATTGAGAAAGATCCACTTTTAAACCGACTTGTAATAGTCGTATCCACCATATTCTTCCGATATGGCACCATCAAACTATCATCTTTTCCGGTCCATAAAGCACTTTCTAAGGGGAAAATCCTCCCTCTTGGTCAGTGCTGTTAAAATCGGTACTTGCAGAATATTTCGCCAATAAATCAGGAGACTTTTACAAAAGAAAAAAGTAAAATTGAAAATCTATTATTGTTAGTAGATGGAAAACAGTCGTAACGAAATGATGGAAAATACGATAAACTAATCCTGTAATAACACTGATAACATAACATAATAACTAATAAAAAACTAATCTTGTAACAACAACGAAAATCGATTTTTATTTTGACGAAGAAAGAAGACACGAAGTATTTTTATTTCGACGGAGAAGCCGAAGCAAACGTTTCCCGGTTAGACCGATCCCGAAGAAAGTAGCGAGTCATGTGCATGTAACAGTGTGTGACAACCGTAACAGAATCCAATCCTTTCTTTCACCGTCGTTCCTTTCAGATTATTCACGGATTTATCGCAAAACTCTTCGCTCTTCGTTGCATTCGTTCTCTCGGTGTCTCGATTCCCTCCGTGAGTTTTCAGAAAATTTAAACGGGTCAGCTTCTTTATTTTTTTTTTTTTTTTTACACGCGAGTGCAGCTACGATCCCAGACTTTTTAACGATAGCTAATGTTTAGATCAATGACTAAACAAAAATTGTCAGAAGGTGAGATATAGCTGGTAGAATCCTGCGTTGATCGCGACAAACGATCCAACAGGTTCTCCCAGACTTATAACGTATTTACGGGAAGAGGAGGCGACGACTCCGGATCAAAGTTGGCGAAAGTCGTACCGGGGAAACCGACCGACCCGGGACCCGGGAGTTCCGATTGCTCTTTTAATTGACGAGATTATAAAAGAACGATTTACGAAGCACCGGGCCCTGGCAATTACAGTTTGATCGCGTCGCACTTTCCTAACTTCCACCCACCCAAGTTCCCGTTGCCATTGTACTAATAATTCTCGAGCCTGAAAACATCTACAAAGTGAAAGATCACGACTTATCGCGAACATCTTTCTGTCATTTAACAAATTACAAATTTGTAATTATTTTCTCTCTCTCTCCGATCTCTTATCGCTCCCTCGTGAACGTGAATCGCAAAGGAGGTTCGTACCTCTAACCACTTGCGCTGGCAACTGATTGCGGACCATAATGAGTGACCAAACGAGTGTACGACAATTCGTCGCTTTCTGTTTGAACTCGTTGGTATGATATCGCTGGATAGAAATTATTGAGAAGCAAAATGTATTATTTGTTTTACTTAAATATACTTGAAACTGAGAGAATATTACAATGTTGGAACAAAAAATTCTCGACGCGCGTGGCACGTCATTCCAGCGCCAAAATCTGCAGTGACGTTCGCGCCAGACGTTTCGGCGAAATGTTCTGTTAACAGTTCACAACCTTTTGAGAACACGATAGCCTACGTGGTCGTTGCATCATTTACGAAGTTAAAAATACCACCTGCGGCGCGATGTCGTCTGTTCTCCGTATATCGCCAGACCTGGAAACGTAACCCAGAGACTGGGAAGCGTGGCGAGAACGACGAGAGGGCACTTTGCGAGTAACGCGAGCCCGGTGTAATTACCGATGACGTGGAAGATTGTCGGACATAACGACGACGGTTCATCGAGGCCTCGCTGGAAACTGGAACGCACTTTTAATTAATTCCACGCGACGCAGTTATCCATGTTTGATGTTTAAATTACAAGAAAAAAAAAAGAGAGAGGGAGAGAAAGAGAAAATATCAGAAGAAACAAAGATCTTCCGGAACAAAAAAAGAAGAAAAATTCGTCGTGAAGGGTTTCGAGAGACAGTGAAGCCCCGTTGAAATCGAATCCCGTGTCCCGCGAAGTGCAAGCTGTTCGAAAAGTTCGAGTGCAACATCCTCGAACTTACGTTCAAGTACCAGTTCGCCGCTCACTCGCCTCCGAAGGATTAACACCGTGGTATCGTCATAATTACGTGAGGAACGAGGGTGAAACCCGGCGTGCTCTGCAAAACAAGTGAAAATTAATTTCATCCCCCGGCTAACGACACGGCGAGACTTCGGCTTCGTTACTCACTGGGGGCGAGATTTCGTAGCGAGGGCAAGAAAACGAAAAAAAAAAAAAAAAAAAAACGAAAAAAAACACTTGGGCAACTTCTCCCCCTCCCTCTTCCCCTCGGGGGTGCAAATATGGACTTTACAGCGAATTAACTTCCGCGAATGTTTCCAGTTTATCCAGCGGTGTTTAACGACGCGGTATCCGCGGTGTTATGACGTGAGAATGAACCCTGGGCAAAACTTGCTTCCGAAACTTACGTTCTCCTACGATCGTTCGAGGATTTATCGTTACCCTTCTGTCGAAAGATTGCGGTGTTTCAGTTTACACTGTTTACGCGAAACCACGAAGTACCATCAATCTTACGTTCAAATATAAATCCTCTGTATATTTGTTTGTTTGTTTGTGTGTGTGTGTGTGTGTTTCTTCGTCACTTGAACAATAATAATAATAGTTTTATCCAAGTATCTAAAAATGCAAGAACGTGTAACGATGCGAAAATTCAAGAAAAGTATGATATCTATTATTGTATTTAGGCGTTTTGTCAACAGAAATATTGTCACTCGTTTTTACATATTAACAATAAGTTAATATTCTGTCTAATTCAGAGACAAACCTAACCCTTTAAATACCATTTGAATGATTATTTCCACAATGCTGTGCGTCATTTCATTTTTAAAGCAATGCTTCAATGTAAATAAATTGTTGGTAGACGATACGTGCAAAGAGAGTTTTCGAGGGTAAATGCTAGTTAATACCACTTGTCGTTCGTTCCCTACCTCTATCCACTGGCATACAGAGGTCCACGTCGCAAGTATCGTTTCTCATTTCCGCGAGTATTCCGTGAAACGATTTCGGTGAGCTTAGACGTGCTGGCAAGTACCATTGAAAATATTTAGGAAGGGTTTAACTCGAAACGATTAAAGGTTCAGATCAACTTGCGAGGGCACTCCGATCCCATCTCTAGTCTCGCCGGCGGTAGCGGTGGAAAAGCTCTGGGCGTGCGGTCAGTCCCGCGGGATCAAAAGTTAGGGAAAACTATCGCAGCTACTGGCGAGGAGAGGATATATATATATATATATATACTCGCCCTTCGGTTTCCATTTCTATCTCCCAGCGGTGGGAGAGAAACAGAGGCTTCTCGTCTTCTAGAAGATGATTCGGAGGGGAGCTAGAACTATCCAGCCGGGGCGGATGCGACCGTATACGCCGCCGGGTGTCCGAGTGTTCGCGAATAGAATCAGAATTCAATATACCGGAAAAAAGTTGGTAAAACGGTTTACAGCGGAGAGGGAGAAGGGGGCGGACAGGTGGATCGATAGCTCGAAAAATTTCTATTCTTGGACGTAAATGCCGTGAAAGCCGATCGATTTATCTCGCGTTTCTCGAGACAAGAAGAACGACGACACGGCTCGCGAAATTGGAGGCTGCCTGGAAATATGGAGAAAGACGAACGAACACATCCGGAAGGCTGCTAGCTACGTTATACACCGTGTAGTTCTGTCGTTCCTTCGAAATGACTAATCTACGATGTTTGTTAGAAATTCTACGTAAAATGAAACGTCTGTAAAATTTTTAAAAATCTGAACGATCTTTCGAAAAGCGTGCAAACGAAAGCATCTTGTAATTGTAATTGCAAATTCCATTTTCCATTTTTCAACGTTTCCGATGGAAATTTTATACCTCAGTCGTCGGTTGAGGAAATATGCAAAGTTTGATACAGTTTCAGAGTTTTATTTTCGATCGATCCACCCAGACTGCGTGTTTTTATACAGCATTATATTTTTGTTACAGCGGAGAAATTGCCGAACGGGTTCCCGTTAATATCGCAGGCACCGACGACCAAGGTGGTGGAGATGGGGCATAACGCGGTGCTGCTGTGCACCGCTGTCGGCTCACCGCCGCCGATCATTTCCTGGGTACGAGACATGCTGCCCATCGACACGACCAATCCACGATACACGGTTCTGGATACAGGTGAGTGAATCCTGTTCGTCGTCGCTAATTTACGCGAGACGACGCGATGAAATAATACGGCTTTGCTCTGCAGAAAACCATCCTTCTTACACGTTAGCAGACTCTCAACTACCCTTTCCTTCTCACACGACCTCGTCTCGTCTACTACCTCACACGCAGCTCTGAGAGCGTTCAAATCGAGTTTATACAACGTGTCTCGCCTATCTCACAGCAAACACTCTGAAAAGTGTTCGAATCGTGGAATTTATTACTCGAAGATGTCGAAGCCTTTACGTAGACTTCGCTAGCGAAAGGTGATAATGGAAGGGGATCTGTGCCGGATGAGAGGCAAGGAAAAAATCTGGATTGCGGGTAGATCGAAGATGTTCGAAGTAACAATAGAGCGGACGCTCGGTGGCGCGTGTCATATCTCGTCGAGTGCCAGAGTGCGTAAGTCACTGTCAACTGGCGGCAGCGTTGATCGAGTGGTCACGCGATATGGGAACATCCAGCACATCCATCTCGTTTGCAGAGAGCGCGCACCTGCTCTGCACCGCTCTCCTCGCCAAGTACACTTCGTGTCTGTTCGTTCGTACGGCCGATCCACCCGCATCGTCCAACGTATTTTCGATTAAACTGCCAAAGATCCAACGCGTTCTCCCTCGATTCGATTCGATCGGTTCGTCCCGGGTTTAACGATCGGTTCTGTTAAAAATATCTGTTTTTTGGGGGGAAGGAATTTCTGGCAAACGTCAACGTTTTGTTTCTTTGTCGAAATCGCGATTTCTTCGATCCTCAAACACACGGTGTCTAGTCACAAATTCTGTACTCTGAACTGAGAATTGTGACACTATCGTGAGTTTTCCGAAAACGGAAAGTTTATCGATTCAGCTCGTCTGAGAAACGTACTCTAAATCTTTAGAACTTCTATATTTCAGACAAAGAGTAAGATATGAAACTGAAACGCTTATTTTGGTGGCTAAAAATTTCACACGCCCGATCCAAATTGGTCACCACCATCTGTCATCTGTCAAATCGCTGTGAAAGGAGCCCATCTCGGCTCCAAACGTCGATATTATTAGCGCGTAATTAATTCTGCCAAACATGCAGCACGAGCATTCAATCAAGATTCAGATTAAAACTGTCAATTGCAAGAAAAACTTGTTCTATAATTCTACGACGATCTAGATTCTATAATTTTGTGAAGTTTCAGTAGAATTGGTAAGTTTGAATTAATCTCAATGCGCATCCTTGTTTCTTCAAATTGTTCGCAAACGCATAGAAACGCGTTTCAACCCGACAATCGCAGTCTCGCGATCAATGGAATGTCCAATCTGGCGCAACGTGTGCGATATATTCACGAAAGAACCTCCTTCGTGAACGTAGCGACTCGCTGCAACGAAAGAAAAACGAAAAAAAAAGAAAAAAAAATGTCTGAAAAATCGCGAGCAAATCGATTCGCAGAGAAACAAGCTTCGGCCGGCCGTGATTCGGTCAGCTGCTCGTTACTCTCTCGTGACACGTGCCGCACGGTGTGTATACTCGTTCCCGGCGAGTCGGTAACTAATGCCGGTGCATAAACCGACCCGTACTACTGGCGACATTCTCCACGCTCTCCTCCCTCCTTTCCTCCACTGCACGATTCTACTCGATCGATCGATCGTTCATCCTCGATCATCCGCTAATTTCAAGCGTCGATAGATGGGTGGCTGGTGGGTCCGTGAAAAAATGTTTCAAGCGGCGATCAAGAGACGAGTGATTTCGAAAATCCTGCGGTTCTTTCACCGCAGACAAAAAAGAAAAAAATAGATGGGTTAAAAAAGAGAGAGAGAGAGAGAGGAAGAGGAAAAATGAAATGTTACGATTCGCGAATATAATTCGCGATAACGACGCGAATGAACGTGGGATGGAGGACGAGTCGACGATAGAAGTCAACTTCTCTATATACGAAAGTTGTTTCGCCAACGCACGACGCCTAACCTATTATCATTATTTTTCCGTGGCGAACGTGCGCGCACACCCCTCCCGTTCTTACACACACACACACACACACACATACACACACGTCGAGGTATACATAAAACGTTCACTTTGTTTTTATCGCAATGGTGGTATCATTATCGAACGGCACGTCACGTAATACCGGCGTGCACTTGCCTATCTTTACGACGGCCGGCGCAGTTTGCCTCGACGTGAAAAGTATACATTAGATGGAGGAAAGCTGGCTGCATACACGCTAGTATCGTTCGGCCGAGTATCGTGCAGCCGGGATACACGCGCGCGCGCGCGCGCGTGCCTGTGTATGTGTGTGCACGCGTTATGCATATATCCGGCTGGCCTGTTCGCTGCCTACCCGCCGCGTTCCCCACTCTAGCGTTAGACGCTCTTCCGCAAAATTCATTCTTCCCGGCGTCGACGACTTTCCATCGCTGCTGTCTCGTCTCCTACCTTCTCCCGCGATTAACGCGAAATTCATTCGTTTCGTGGCTTCTCGAACGTCTCTTCGACTATCGTTGACGTCGTCAACTCCCTTCCAACTAGAATGAAGCGAGAAGGAAGCCAGTGTGTATCGCGCTCGCGCCGCACATCCGTGCCTCGGTCGCACGCGCGTCGATCTTACGATTCTGGCAATCCGCGGGGCAATTCGTATGCGTGGCACGTATAAACGGGGATATCGCGTGCGTGCGTGCTCGTCATCCGTCTGCACCTACCACTACGTGGAAACGCGCGCGCTCGCCAGGAGCATCTTACAATCCTCGCCAGGCAGCTACGTTATGGTGGAATTTTGCTCGATGGGGAAGGGGGAGAGAATTCGATCGAATACACACATCGGCCGCCGGACTTCCTCCGACCATAGAGTTCTCCGATACAGAGTAAAGAGTAGTATCTATCGTAGGATAGAAAATATCGATGTACAACGCGGTTTTGAATCGTTGAAAGAGACACGTGGGACGCAACACGCTAGGAAAGAGAAAAGAAGAATCGAGCAGTAAGCGAGAACACTCGCGTGAGTCGAACGAAGGATATCGAATTGTTTAGCATCCTTCGAACGCTATATTGAATATCGATGATTGACTTTTTCTTTTTTTTATTGGCTTCTTCAACGCCGTTGAAGGTCTCGGGTACTTGGATGAAAATTGGAGAAAGGCTGTATTTTAATCGGCTAAATAAATCAATCTTCGTGCCTCAGGGGACATCTCAGTCGTTCTAACTGAAAATTAAATCCAAACTGTACGAAAAATACCATTTGCAACCATTGACAAAGTAAAAGGTTTTGCATTCAACGATTGCACAAAATGTTGCTTGGCACGAATCAAGGGGAAGAGGAGTGACAAGCATCGGGAAGCAAGAGAAAGCATCGGCCTGCAGAGTCGCATCAGTCACTCGCTCGCTCGCTCGCTCGCTCGCTCAGTAACTCCCTTAACGTCATTCGCGTGTCTTCCACCCCACCGTCAATACCGTTAGAAGCCATCGCCATACGACATCGTCGTCTCTCTACGTATATCCCATAAGATATATGGCTTAATGTATTACAAAAAGTACACGACGGGGGCAATGTACTTACTGCCTACGTGTATCCGTGTACGCGAGCAAGTTCCGTGAAAAGAAAATGGATGGAAGAGGAGAGGAACGCACAGGTTCGCGGCGCAAGAAGCATCGCGGAGGGTGAGAAAGACGCGGATAAAAGTAGGAGGAGGAGACAAAGCGTTAGTCGTGCGTCATGTACAGTAACCTGTTTAACGGCCGTGCGTTATCCAGCCTCGTATTTACTTATACGGGGTGTCCGGAGGTTTAACGTTCCAACTTTGCCCGCAGGTGGAAAGCAAAACCTAAAATCTCGCGGCAAAACTGTATAAATTCACCGTTGAAATGTGCTCGTGCATTTTGTTTTGTGCCTTCGTCGTTGCAAACTTGACAGAAATTTTATCACGATGTATAAATGATTTTTATTCGTTATACGTTGTTAGGATTGGCGCCGACAGTTGGCCGTAGGCGTTGTAAAAAAAAAGTGTAATTTCAGTTTCAATCCTGGGGATCGTTCGTCACTTGACAGAGGGGCATTTTAACCACTTGCGCTGGCAACCGATTGCGGACCATAACGAATGACCAACACCGTGTATACGTACAATAATTCGTCGCTTTCATTTTTTTAACTCGTCATCGACGTGACATCGCTGGATAGAAATTATCGAAAAGTAATAAATTTATTATTTGCTTTGTCTGGGTTATACTTAAATATACTTGAAAACTGAGAAAATATTGCAATTTTGGGAGAAAAAGTTCTCGACGTGAGTCATTTCAACGCAAGAGATTGAGCTTATTTCCTCCAAAAAATTGTGCGCAAACTGGTCAAGTGTTCTTTCATTGCGTGTCAATTTAAACGAGTATTTCGTTGTTTTATTTTGAAAAAGGAAACAATACGACGCATGCAAAAAGACTTGCAATGTATACGTGAAGATGCTTTTCAGCTAAATGTCTGGCGATTTCAACAGGAAGAGACTAGCGAAGCTCGACGATATACCACGATATTGCACTTATACGCCGCCCAATCAAAATTCTTTGAACAAGTTGGAGCAAACTTTTCTTCAAATATGTACACATATGTACGTTCGAAATCACAAATCTCTAATTTTCTTTGCTCGTAGAACGTTAAACTCCCCCGGACACACCTTGTACACGTAAGTACACGTTCCGTGCCTAACTCCGGTCGAATGTTCCGCGACGTTCAAAAAGACAGAGCCCATAGAAAAAGCAAAGGGTGCCGCGACCACGGAGCACGTCTACATGCCCCGGGCGTGTGTTATTCAGATTCCGTGGAAATTAAATTTTCGTCGGCTACCATTGTCAACGTTACGTTAGGTTAACGTTGAAATTTTCACAGAACGTTTCTAACATCGCCATTGTTGCAAGTATACCGCCACGGTGGCACGGCGTTGTTTGCATTCATTTGGCGAACGTAACGCCGCGTTTCGCAATTTGCGTTAATAATATCAAAGCATCCTCGACTGTTATAGAGTGGC